ATTTGGTGCTTCCTTGTACCAATATCTATGTGTCCAAATAAATAAATAAAAAGTAGTCAAAAACAATAACTTTTATCTTGTATTTAAAAAGTCATTGGAAATTGTTGGAAGTTAATCCTAAAGTAATTATTCTGTTGCTACTTATTTATTGGCCGTTCTGATTAGCATTTTCCATTGGTATCAGAATAATTCTATCCGCTTGGTGAGTGATGAAATTTAAGAACTCCTAAATATAAGTATGGGTTTGTGGAGATTATTAAGTTTTTGATTGAGATCATGAACCGATTGATGTCAGACCACCATTGAAAACTTGGAAGCATTGAACGGCCGCTTCATTCTATTGTGGGACTCCTCAGCAGTTCGAACCCACAATACCGCTCACGGGATTCGAACCCACTGTTGGATGCCAGATCAGTGGTCTAGAGGTTAGGCGTTCGTGAACGAGATCGAAGACCCTGGGTTAGAATCTCACATGAGAGATCGTGGATGGGCACCGGTGAGGAGTCCCACGATAGAACAAACGGCCGTACAGTGCTTCCAGGTTTTCAATAGTGGTCTAACATCAATCGGTTCATGATCTCAATAAAGAAAATCCCAAATATTTTAATTCATCTAAAATAACTACAAACTACAGATCAATACCACCTTAAACATAATTTCATCTAAGTTTGCTGGTATCATTACCAAGGTTTGATTTGATAATTTTAAATAAATTTAGCGTTAAGTAGATTGTCGATAATAAAAATAATATATTTATGATATTTCGATGAGTTGAAATATTAAATTTTTCTATTGTTTCGTGATTTAGTTTATACGTCTTCTTCAAAGAATAAAGTTTTAGAAAAAGTGGCTTATACTGAGTTATAAAGAGTCAGAAAATTTCGTTTTTCTACTCTTTGAAATATTAAGGAATTAGATTATTTTTATTAGAATTTCAACCATTTTAATTCTGAATCTTACCGTTTTCACGAAGTTTTCCTCATTTGTAACAAAGAAAATCTTTTAAACATAAGGAAGCCTTATGTAAACCTTGATTTGTGGCGGTAAAACATCACATCTCAAAATTTGCTTTTACACGAACCTCATAAGATCGATCCATTGATTGATTGAATTTTCCTCCAAGATTCCGTTGAATAGGCTATGTCTATTTAGTTATGTTGCTCATATAGTCGATATTTGATTTTATCACACTTATACTCAAACTATGATATGAGAAGTAGTATATTTCGTATTTTTTGAAAAAAATTCTGTTTCGTTCAATGTATCAAAACAGTTTAGAATTTTACTTCAAGCATTACTGATTAAAATGATTCGAAAAGTTGTAAACAGAAATTCACTACGATGAATATCAGTTCCTAATTGAAATCGAATCCCTTTTCTATGCAGATATTTATCCTGATAAATTAAATTAATGTATCTAATGAATTGCATTTTTCATAAACAAATCAATAGATTCAAATCTATAACATAAATTAATGAATGATTTTTGTATTACACCATTGTTATGAACCTATTGAAAACCTTGAACAATTTATTATTATCAATGTATTGAAAATATTTGATGTTAATTAGTAAAATAATCTCTAATTTAAATTTTAAATTGTTTGACGAAAACTGTTTTATAAGTTGATAGTACATTTTTGCTAGGTTTCAAGCTATCACGAGCTCACTTAATCTCTGAACGAGAACAGAGACTCGGTAACCAAAGGTGATGAGCCCCAGCCCCACTAACTAGAGGAAGAAGTCCAAGCTTGGAATGGGGAAGTATATTCTGCAAACTGCCAGAAACGAGCGATAACAGCAAACACAAATCGAAACGTATATATTCAGTACGAAACCCTCTTTGGGGAGAGTTACCAAACAGCATACTAAAAGACGCAACGGACCAATAGCATTTAAGATATTTCTCAAGTGGGAAATACGACATGAAGGTGACAAGAGCGCTTTTGGCGCGAAAACAAATAAATTCAAATTTTCTGAATAAAATTACAAAATTAGGTCCTTTCCCAAGTGAGTTCTGAGGATCTAACGTCCCCAACAATTTTGATGTACTTTACTTTGTTATATTCTTATAAACAAGCTGTTAACATCAAAGTATTAACCTTGATTCTTTATCAATTCTTCATAATTAACACTATCTTGATATGAAATTATTGGACAGAGTGAGAGGTTTGGTTTAATTAGTATTAATATGAGTTTTCTTAAGATTCGTATCAAATATTTACCTTTCACAGTGATCAAATGTTTTTTTTAAATATTCGGTTCATAACTGAAATAGATTATAAAGAGGAAGAATGTATTTGTAAAATCTCAGCGAATGAGTTTGAAGTAAATCCAACATTTCGCCTGGCAATCTGCTGCAAGCTTTTACAAGGAAATATAATCAAACATTAAAATTATCCATTATAAATAGGTACCTGATTCTGTGGTTTACTGTATATTGAATGAGTCATCCAATCAACGTTAACAATGTTTAAAGTAGGTATTTACATACATCCTTCCTCTTTAATGTCTCACATTAACTCAGCGCCAAAGTACTGTGAAACTATTCGAAAGTTCGTATTGATATAGATCTTAATTTATATATATATATATATATATATATATATATATATATATATATATATATACTTTGGGTAATCTTATTACTAATATGATGGTACTTATTAAATAGGATAATAATATTATAAACATAATAAATACATAAATATAATCGATAAGAAGTTTTGAACTTGAGATGCTGATTCTTGAGATCTATCAACAGTTAGTATTATTAAAGAAAATTAATAAGTCTTGCGATTTTGAACGCTATACTCGATTCCTAAGCTATTCTGAAAACCCCAAGCTAGAACTATATAGCGACCTGAACACGAGAGAGAAGGCGCAAAATATGCTAAAAGTACTTCACTCCAAGGTTCATTTTTAATACAGAAAACAGAGGATCTTTATAATATTCTAAATGTCCTTGGGTCGCTCGAAGATTCTGGAATGCTACTAAACATAGTAGTGGTATAACAATCAACTAATCACAATCTCTACATGTGACGTTTCTCACCCTTGACGTTTTCTGGCTAAACTCCAAGTGAACGCTGATTGGATGAAATGCTTCTTAATGTTTCCTGAACCTTGCGTGGCTTTTGCGAGGATTTTTCTGGATCATCCCAACAAAAATATTATACTTTATGGGATTCAAATCCATATCATCCAGTGTTACAGACAATAGCATTACTACCAATCAGTAGTTTATGTGATTAATTACTTAATCAATATTTAGAAAAAAACCTGAATTTATTGTATGTTATCAACTTCTAATTAATAGTTTTCTGCCTATACTAATCCACTAAATCTTAATGCGAATTCATTTTTCCATTTGTTTATATTATCGTCTTATTAAAAAAAAGATAAGTGGATTAAAAAGTGCATAGTCAATTAAACGAATTCGAAGTGTTTACAATCTAGTTTCATAGATTTAAAAATAAACATAGAAGTTATAAACAAATAATCTTATGAATGCTTTCTTACTTTATTCAGAAAGATCGTCTTTTTATTAAACTAAATCTATATATATCAAATTCGAATTTAATCAACACTTTCCTGATATAAAGTATAGATACTTACCTTTATTTAATAGTTAGATTCATGAGTCGACTGAAGCTTGATCATTATGGGAAACCTAGAAGCACTGGACGGCCGCTCCATCCTAGTACCAAACTCTTCAGTAGTGTGCATCCACGATCCCGCTTACGGGATTCAAACCCAGGACCTTTGACCTCACACCGGAACACCGTCTAACGGTTTCAGGTTTGCCATGGTAGTCTAACTTCAATCGACCCATGTATTCAATTATTAATTTACTACAATCTCCACGAAAACCTACGTACCTTTATCTTTCCTAATAAATACTGTTTTTAGGCTATGTACAACTTTATTAATGTTTGTGATGATAAAATAATGTATTCGTACTATTTTAATGAATTGAAAACAGAATTGGATTTCTAAAATTTCACTGTTTAATCACCTTTATGGTTTAAAGTTATGTTTATTTTAACTCGTTTATTTAATTACTGAAGAATCAACTTATACTTAACAGTAAAATGTCAGAAATTCAATTTTCTTCTTATAGGTATATTAAAATATATTTCTTTATTATCATAAACAATAAACTAAATGGTTAATTTATCTGAAATGTTTGAGTTAAACCTTGGTAAGCCTTATCTCGGTGTATTCTACTTATGTTTGGAGACATAAGTAGTATTTAACACTACTTGGAATTAGAATGTCTGAGAGTAGAAGGTTGATAATATTGACATGAAGAGAAGAGAGAAGGAAACTGAAAGCAATAAAAATAACAATAGGAATGAAGGAATGATGACGCTTGTAAGATACAAGCCAAAGAAGATGTGCAAATGATATATTTGATGTACGATTTTCACATTTTACTAAACTACTGTGTGATTGTGTAGTATATAATAAATTAGTTCTCTCTATTTGAGTGTTCATTCAAGATATTATGAGAAAGGATTGTACAAAACATACTCAATTAATTTACTATCAACTTTGTACAATACCATTATGGTATTTTGAAGAACATTGATTTGATTTTTCCTTGCTAAATATTATATATACCAGGATATATTTATCAATGAATTCAATAAGAGCTTAAAAGCATTGAGTATTTTGAAAAAACGATTGAACTACTCTGATATAAATACTTCTATTGAGTATATCGATAATTGAAACTGATATATAACACTTCCATAGTTGATCGTTAACAGAAACTTGAAGTCTAGTTAAATGAATTCATACAACATAGTACTCATAACAACGAGAAAATGACATAACAGCATACAAAAACGATGTATTAAAAGTAAGGATTATATGAATCTAAGTAATCTTACAAGGACTGTACCACATATCAAAATGAACAACATCAAGTCTAAATAATCAATATGGATAATAAATACAATAATAATTTATAAATAATAATATATAATATTTACCTTTTGTAATACTTTTGGATATATACAATAAGAAATAAAATTGATTAATTGTTCTAATGTATTTTGTTCATTTGAATCATATGAATTATATATATCTTGTATTTGTACATATTGTCCACAATCAAAGTAGATACGTAATCTTTAAATAATTTAAATAAATAAAAATAAAATGTATTATTATTCATTAATCATATAATGTAAATAACTCATCATCATATTCATCGACTCTAATCTAAATTTCTATGGTGTATGAAGAGGATAACTCCACCTGTAGCTCTTCTAGAGTTATTGCCAATCCCAAGCCCAGATAAAAGAGGAGGGTTGGGTATGGGGTTAGCGACAGCATCCTGGAGAAAACTAACTCGTTAAAACAGAAAACACTAACCAGAAAAAATAATTCAGTAAGTAAGCAATAGACGAATATTATCAGAACTATGTGATATATGAGAGGAATACCATGGTACAGTGAGACCTACTATAGCTACTACTGTCTACATCATCTTACCATTTAGAGGTGATTCAAATAGTTTTTTTTATTGAAACAAAGGATTAAATCAGTCATTAACAACACATATTGTGCAGCAAAGGTCATTATCAAGGAAGCAACAAAGTTCATGCTTCATCGAAAACGAAAAAGACAAGAAAACAATTACGTCACATTCCGCCGTGTTTACCAATTTAAATGTGTGTATTTGTGTGTATAATTACACATACATAGGGAGGAGTAATTGTGATCTCAAAATTAAGGTGTGTGAACATGTACCTAAATGGTTGCATAAACAAAAAGAATCGAATGACCCAATAAGATTAGAAGATGAACATCCATCATCCTCCATTGCCAAACACATAATCAAAACAGGCCATAAGGTTGATCTTAACTCGGCTTTTGTGACGTTGTACAAAAATGTAAAAGGGTTTATACTAAGGTTTATTGAGGCCTTAGCCCTACAAAAATTCAAACCCGCTTTATGTATTCAAAAACAGTTTGTTCTCACCTTAAACCTACCCTGATAATATTAGTTTATTATCCAGAGTGATGAGGTTTCAAATTCTTTTCACATCATTTCTTTATTATCCTTGTCTCCTCTTACCCTTCATTTCTTGTCTAGTTGACGTTCTATTTTTATACATAAATGTTCTTAACAAAAGTATGTGTGATCAGATTGTTTGAAATGTATTGCACTAATATATCATCACATAGTTCTGATAAACTTCGTTTACTTATTACACTATCAAAATTTATCAAAATGGGCTAGTTGCTGTAGATTCCTTAAAAGAATACTCTCTGCACATTCTAATCTAAATGTCTATAGTGTTTGTGTAAAACCATTTCGTTTTTAGAAATGATAACAATGTAAGAAGCAAATGACTAATTACATTTCAGCCTTGAATATTAACAATGAGATAATTCAAGCTCTTATTAATAATAATATAGACAGTACAGATGTTGAGCAAGTTAGTGGATATCTGAATACAATAGCTTAGTGAATAAATAGTTGGTGTTTGAAATGGGAAATATTGAATTTGAATTACAATATGAACATAAACACTGGCATGAAGGTACATCTAACTGACGAGTTTTATCAAATAAAGTCAGTAAAATAAACTTAATCGAGACAACAACCTAAAGATTATTATCAATGAAGAATGTTGAGTAGTATCAGAAGGGGTTTTGTACAGATTGTAGCAATTTCAATAGTTGAAATCACCATGAAAAACCTGGAAGCACTGGACGGCCATTTCGTTCTATTATGGGAATCTTCAGCCGCCCAAGAGATTCGAACCACAAGACTTACCAGTTTCACGCGGAAGCGCTTAACCACTAGACCATTGAGCCTGCATTTGACGGCGTCATTGTCTAACTTCAGCTAATACACGAAATTGAGCTACACATCCACCATTGTCTTAAGTGAGTTCCTATCTCACAACTAACCCGGTTGAACGAAACAGCCATCCAGTGCTTCCGGGTTTTTCATGGTGGTCTCGCTTCAATTGACTCATGATCTCAACTATTGAAGAATGTTGAGGTTTGTATCAGTCGAAATAACAGAAGTACAGATAGCCTGGATTTTCCAGCCATATTTTTATTAGTGGTTCAATAATTCAAACAACCAATAAATTAAATATCTGAAATAAAATCTCTACTTTCATTTCAATTGAAATTTACTCATACTGCATAATACTTTATTCATCGTCCCTAAAAAGATTTTATCTTTCTGTCAGTTTGATTAATTTTACAGATATTACATAATCAGTATAAGATTTTAGTTTATCGCTCGAAGATTATTAAACTAATCAACTGGTTAACACGCCTAGAAGTTATATTTACTCCATATAGACAAATATCAGTTAAAGAAATGTTATTTTAAAAGTGCTTGTAATACATACCAATTTATATTATAAATCCAACAACAACAACAAAAACTCACACTTTTCTATTATGTTCAAATAAACAAGCAAATATTGAAGTTAATGGGATAGCTAAAAGAATTTTATTAGCTAAATCTGATGATATAGTATATGGAGCAAAAATTACTAACCAATTTCGATTAATACCAATTTGTGTTTCAAAATAATGATTATTAGTTAAAGATCTATATACAGAACCATCTGTTGAATATATATCCTTACTATTATCATTATTATTGAATAATGATGAATTAGGTAATAATTCCATGACGGAATGCCATCCATCTATTTTTTGCCACTTTTTTAAACCAACATATAAACTTTGACCAAAATCAAGTAAATTATGAAATGTATTTGATAAATGAATATATTCATTAGATTTCTCTAAATCATTTCCATTATAATCATAATTTGGTTTTAATAATTCAGAATGATTACGTTTAACAGGTTGATGCATTTTATATAAATCATCAAATGATTTTGGATTATTAACATTATTATTATTGTTTTGTTGAGTAAATGGTATTATTCTATCAGAATGATATTTTGTAGGCATGAATTCGCGATCTATTGAGGATGAGGTTACATTTACACGAAATTTTATTGAATTTTTTAATTGTTTTAATTTATCTTGTGAATGTCTTCGATATAAATGCATCTTACCTGGAATAAAAAAGAAAAACAATTAAAAAAAGGAGAAGAAGAAGGGAGGGAGAAAGAGAGGAAAAAACATTCTGTTTATTTTACGAATATTAACGATATTTTTGTTATTTATTTGTTTGTTTGTTTTTTATCAGTATAGGGGTTGTGAAGATTATTAAGTATTTGATTGAGATCATGAATCGATTGATGTTTGTTTTTTGTCAAGCATTAATAGAATTTAGAGAATTAGTATAAATTATACAGTTTTGTAAAATATGAAATTTCTCAAATATCGTATACTCATAGAAAACGTTGAATAAAAAATTAAACCATTTTGAAAATCAAATAAAACTAAAGATGCGGATGGTTTCAAAGGACCTAGTACGGTCGAGGGTGGGGAGAATCAGATCTTTATATCGAAATGCTCTGATATGGTCATGTGTATACAGCCACTGTCAGGGAAATCCTACTCACTGTCTTCTCACGGCATTACTGTTGTTTACGAAATTGAGAGGACGAAAAGTGAATGTCCGGTGCTTTAATTGGGTTGGTGGATACGGAGGATCCAACTAGGGGAGTTGGAAAACCCTGATTCCAAACAGTGGTGCACATGGACTCCAGGATCCTGAGAGAACAAATGGCTTACGAACCAATCGTTGGTCCTCGGCTGCCATGGCACTGCATTTCCTGACATTGCTCAATCAACTTGTGAATCAGACCTTAAGGTAGAAGGCTTCACGTGTGGCCCCTAACCAGGACAGTAACACAGCTCACACACAAACTAAGTGACTTATGTGGCGCATATGTTTATGATGCCTGCTTATACTAATAACTTTGTGTTCGAATAAATAAATAAAAGATGCAAATTTATAAGTATTTAGATTTTTAAATTTATTTTTGGTGAAGCTGCGTTGAACACTTATGAGTAATATTTAACAAATATGAAATATTATGGAAATCATGAATGCAAGTTAGACGACCATTTAAAATCTAGAAGTACTGAACAGTCATTTCCTTTTAGTATGGAATTGCTTAGCAATGTATATAAACGACTCCACTTCCATGATTGGAACCCAGGAACTTCGGCCTCGTGCGTAAATCTTTAATTTCATGACTATTGACTTAAAATCCAATGGTGCGTCTAACAATCACTACCCATGTTATCTGCAGAGGAACATCTTATTACTGATCAAATAATAATGACATTATCTGTATCTGATTAATATTTAAAAAGAATTGAAAAACAACCTGTCATCGATACATCAAAAGGTTTTTTTAATTTACATTTGGATAAGAGTTGAAAATAATTTCAAATGTTGGCAAAATACCTAAAAAAATATTTTCCATAAATCTAACTTCACATTAGTGCTCTTATATTCACTTAACTGCACTGTATTAATAATAAAATATTATACATGGTATTCAGTGGTGTTATATATATTTATATACGTCTAATTAAAGACAATTTTTGTACAGCAGAAGACTATATACAACGTAAATTAGTTGTAATGACATTAGTCGCTTTCATACAAGTAATTATTCAAATACTACGGTATAAAAATAACATTGTACTATTATGGTGAGTAATTTTAGTAGATTTACAATTGCTTTGTTTGTTAATGATCAATATTATATACAATGTAACATATAATGACTAATGAAATTATGAATATGGTTGATGGTGGCTAGTAGTGCAATCCAGGTGGCGCATTTCGTCCTATCTGGGTCTCGCCAACTAGATGCATCTGGATTCTAGAATTGATGTTCACTCCGGGGCTCAAATTCAGTTTCATTCGCTTCAAACGTCTTCGCGTCATCTGCTTAGCTACTGAGTCTAGATAATCACTAGCTTGTGCTTATAATGCTTATGACTTAAGGCAATATCAAGGTGATTCGCACAGAACGTATATATACCAATAAGAGACTGATCAATTTCAGTCCTAAACATCAATAGGAATACTCAACATAATCAATACAAAATCATGAATATGGTTGTTTGAAAAATATAATTTCGACAAATTAATTTGTAGTTTCGAATGATCAGTAAGCAGTTACAACTCATTCTTAGTTCATAATTGTATACAAATATACAATATAAATTATTGTCAATAGACAATTAATTGTTTCAATTGACTAAACGTAATTTTTTCTTACCATGTTTTAAATTCTCATTCTCTGTATTAATTGTATGTTCATTACAGAATTGATGTAGATAGTCTCTTCTTGAACGTTGCATAATTTCACGAAATTTTGAATATTTCAATACAGCATAAGCTGCATTAATAGCTAAAAAATAGAAGTCCATTGAGATAAGAAATAATTATTACAGATTAGATGTAATAATATTGTAGTATATGCCACTTATGTCGACAAATGCAAGTAGTATGTAACATCAATCAGAAGAGGAATACATGGCAGGAGAAGGCTATGAAGGTCAACTTGAAGAAAACGGAAACAAAAATGGAAAGGATTTGTGACTTGAAAGAATCATACGAAATGTGAAGCGCAAATAATAGAATTTTGCATATGAAGTATTCAGTGTATGTATATCATATTTTTCCAAGAGTTTCTGTGATTTTCTGTTAAGACACATTGGTTATCCCCATGTATTCGTTCATTACAATATTATAAAACAATTAGTTGACTCATTCATTATTGACTTTACCACTGACATGGGAGGAAATCAAATAATGTATCATGTGCCCGGCTTTCAGCGGTACTCTATATATGATGACTACCTTAACTAAATCGGGACATGAACCTGTAACCTAATCGGTGGAATTCTAACAGCTTAACCAATAAACCATTGCTCTCAATATGTGAAGTATATCTATTCAATAAGTACACAAGTAAAATTACACTCAAATGTAATCGAATAATCTATTCTGTATGTAGAAGAAATTCACCCGACCGTTGTTGCTACCTTGACGTGGTGGTCGGGCTTGTCTATCGTGATGAATCAATTCAGCTATACCGGCTGGAACAATCGTTCCTCAAGGTCCTAACATGCTAGATAGGTCTGTTGAAGGGCGGGAAGAATAAAAGCAACAAATCCAAGGTCCGAATTCGAAGTCGTACTGCCGACTCTTCTGATTTGTGACAGCGGTAAGGTGTTTCCTTCAGACAACCAGCATGACAGCGATGCTGCCTTCCCACAAGGAGGGGTGGGGTTAGAAAAGGTCGACCCTAAAAATACACACCTCGCCTTATCCCACGGATATCCGTCTCCGGCGGTAAGGTCTCAACACGAAAATTGCTCACATAAAGGTCGTGTGTGGGCAACCTCAAGCAGTTGTCGCTTGGGCACTGCGGTCACGATCTCATGTCAATAAGACCACCTTTAATCCAATTTCCTTTTCAGTTACCTCTAGAAGAACCCTTCCACAGTGTGGGCGACCGGGAAGTGATGACCGCCTTCATACCTCTAACAGCATTCAAGACCACTGTATTAATAATCAACCTGACTGAGAAAGTCAAGAGTTAAATGCAATTTATTTCATGCGTTTGAAAGTAGGACGACAAAACTTTGATTTTCAGTGATTATCAAGATAAAATCAGCTTGTTGTTCACTGCTTTTTCATAAACATTTTTTTGAAAGTAACTTCAAAAAAGTTTTTTTATCTGTTTTGTTAAATAGTCAGAAAATTACCTTGTAAAGTAAATGAATATCTCAGATTATTTACTAATCTATACTAGTCTGTAATAGGCACCATAAATGGTTATATCTGAATGTAAACAGATCTATAGATTATAAACAGTTAAAATGATTGTAGATATTTACTATAGCTTTGAACAATGTGATTTTGTTTATAAACGGTATGTTTTGTTCATGTATATTGAGTTAAAATACATGTTTATGAATCGTTGATAACTTAGCTGAATAATACCGTTGATAACATGGTTTTCCATATTCCTGACTTAAATAAGTTGAAATTAGTGTTCTGTTATCTAGCATTTAGAACTGATTAAACTCTATAAGTCAGATTAAACTATTCCCTCTAATCTATATTATCTAATAATGTGATGAACTTTGTTTGAAAGTAATCGAAAAGTACTAACTAGCATAAAATTTTGATTCTGGCTTTTATTCAACGAATTATACTACGATATTAGGTCACTCAAACTACTGGGATGTTGAACTAAAATAGTATCAAGTACTGGTCATTCACCATAGTTTTCTGAGTCCCATCGTAAGTCAGTTTCGAGTCGAGTTGCATGTTGGTAATGTCTGTGTTTGTAAAACTAGATATTATGAGCTTGAACATTACTAACAAACCATCTTTCAATTAAACATCTTCGTTACGATGTAAATCTAAATAATATGATGATGTATAGTTTAACTCTGGAGATATTTTCCTATAACATTGTGGAATTAACTCGAGAATCAGTAAATTAATATTTACACCTAAATCAAAGTGATCTATAATATCTGAATAATCCATAGTCGATTGACAGACAAACAATGATGTATAACAATCAAATACAATGTAGGCATAGATAATCTGTAAAAAATCCAATATACAAACTAAACGTATCATCACTAATGTATAGCATGAAGCTTATCATGTAATACTGTTGGAGAGACCCTGAAAATTCCTTGAAAATGATCCATTGGGGCCCTTAAAACTCTGAGAAACATCTTACCCAATCAACATTTAATAGAGGTTTACCAGAAACATTTAGAAAGTGAGAGGTCACATTTCTGGTTCGATGATTATCTATCCTGCTACTATGTTTAGAAGGGTACCAGGACTTTCCAGAAGCCCAAGGTTATCTAAAATGCTATAAATACCATAGATTTTCTGTGCATAAAATCACCTTAGAGTTAAGTGTTCTCATATATTTCGCACCTTAACTCTCGTGTTCAAGTTGCCGTGTAGATTTATTCTGAGTGTTACTAGAAGAATTTAGAAAAAACGGAATCAAGCGTTCAAATTAAAACATTTGTCAGATATATCCTGGTTATCAGTACGAGTATTTGATCTATTTTCATATATTCTATAGTGATATATATATATTGTTATATCCCAATGAGTAGAAAATTGTATTTCCGATGTTTCGTGACTTAATGTAATGCACTTCTTCAAAGTAAATAATTAACCGACAATTAAATTAACACAAGTTTAAATAGTACGAAGAAAACAATACAGAATATTTTTGGTGCAATTAAAATCATAACAGATCTGAATATGTCAATATCAAGTTATTCTTAATCAATGTGAATTTGTATGACCTGTCACTGTGTATCAGAGTATTCCGCATTAGTTCTTTCTATATTATTTAAAATTGTGTTAATTTAATTGTCGGTTATTTATTTACTCTGAAGAAGTGCATTGGATTAAGTCACGTAACATCGGAAATAGAAGTGTCCTACTCATTGGGATATAACAAAAAATATTTTTATTATTGACTCTCTACCCGATGCTCAATTTATTTGAAATTATCAAGTCCAACCTTGTCACTGATACCTATAACAATTATCTTTATTTCAAGTTGTTTACTTTATGAAGAAATAAATTTGCTTTTCATTCTTTTTTAAAACGTATATACGACAGTTAAAGTATAACAAAGTATACACTAGGATGAATAATGGCTAGCAGCAGATTCTAGGAAGTGCTTTTCGTTCTATTTGGGATTCGCCAGCTGGATGTACCTGCATCCCAGAGTTGATGTTCCCTGTGGGGCTTGAACCCAGTTTCATTCGCTTCGAACGCCTTCGCTTCATCCACTTAGCTACTGAGTTCAGATAGCCACTAGATTGTACAATAGAGTGAAGTTTGTTTGAATCTCCTCATTGATGCGTACATCAACTATAGGACGTAGTTACATCTAGCTGATAAGCTCCAAAGGGACGCAATGCGCGTCCTGGATCACACCGCTAGATACCATGCATCTCAGCATATAATGCTTGTGACTTGAGGAAATGTCAACTCAATCCATACTGGATGCACATATGCCAGCAATAGAGTGATCGATTGCGGTCTTTAATATCAATCGGAAGATTCAAATAATCAATACAAAAATGAATTGAGTTAATATACTTTGCTTATACGTTATACAGATGACCGTTTGTCGAATAACTACTATACGATATGTTACATTCATACGGTTGGATGTCTAAATACCATTTGGACATGTAACTCTGAAACGTGAACGTGCAAACGTTATTTCGGGTTAACCATCATTGATGTGATAGTGACTCATTATTTACCACACTTAGAATTATAACACTATTGACGAGTAATATACGTTATAAATGTAAATTATACAAAATACTTTAACGAATAACATTGTTATGCCATGCAGCTACTAAGTTGTTCAACCAAACTCATACAACTGAATCTAAAATACATCAAGTATATAAATGTCTATAGAACACGAAGTTAGTTACTTGTCAGAGCACAAATGTGTTTTAGACAAACAAGGGACGTATTTCTATCAGACGATTCGATCATGAAAAAGCAAACGACCGATAAATTGCTTATACCTTGTGCAATCACACAGTAAAACATTAGGTGTTTAAATCCTTATGGAATATAAATCAGTTACTTGTTGATATACCTCAAACAATCTAGTAATATAATACTATTGTCAAATGATAGCCTCCTGTAATAAATTCAAACAGTAACAGTCCGGAATGCGATAGAATACATAAACGAAGCGATTCAGTAAAGCTAAATTAAGAGGGTCAGTAAAAATTAAACGACGAAAGCGATATATCAAGAAAACCAAAATCGTATGTAAAATAAATAACTTAACCTTTAAGGGTTAGGCAAAAGGTTAATGTTGAATAAAATGTATACATAGAACAATAATCAGACATTCAAATAATAAAAAATGTTTTTCAATAGTAAGGTATTGTTCTTATTTGACTATGAATGATGTTTTAATCCACCTTCTTTTATTCATCAAGTTACTTGTACCAAAAAAAACAACAGAATTTTGCGAATACTACAAAATTAGCGTTTATAAAAGAAAGTGGGTTTTTCAAAACTAATGACCTGGAATTCAGTAGTTGAACAGTAATTAATAAGTCAAAGTACATTTGATAACCAACTGGATGAAAAAAGAGAGTAGTTGATGATCTTATAGTAAACCAATCCAACTATTTTGTTATTTAGCGAGGGCGTAAATAAATTTAATAGACTGAATATTGTAAATATATACCTTATATAAAAGAACATTGTGACAACGGTTCAAAGGGCTAGAAACAAGTAAACATTGATAGGAAAAAAAAATGGAGTAGAGTTCAGTTGATAAAAATAAGATTAAAAATTTTTTTGGAAAATAGTTGGAATAAAACTCAATGATGTGATAAGTGCAAGAAAGAGTTCAAAGAAAACGAAAAACAAAATCTTTTTTAAAAATATATTGAGATACAGCGAAGGAATATTAGTCACCAAGGCAAGGAAAGATTAATAACCATCTCCTTTTGAACACATAAATCAGGTTTTTGGCGTCTGATAGCAACTGCTTCAGCAAACTTCAGAAGACTGGAGTTTGGCTGCTTACTAATCACCTTGAACGATTCTAGGGTATCGACCTGATGTCCTGTATCAAGGAGATGTTTGGTGATTGCACTATTTAAAGTCTTTCTTTCTCTTGTTCTGAGGCTTTTTGGAACATGTTCAAAAAATCTGAGATATGCTATCCTTTCTGTTCGGCCGATTTATAAATACAATTGGCGGTAACATGAAAAGGATGCTTATCAACCTTTGATTGAGTTATTGAATATGTTGTTTTATACAGAATTAGAAGTTTGGCCGCCGGATAAGTTCTGGCTAGCGTAGTATTCAGTCTCCTGTTTATTGTGTTTGCAACATCATCACCTTTGAAGTTAAGATTTATAGTTATTGGTTTCTTATTAACCGTAATTACTTCAGTATTGTTTTCTTTACGCTTTTTATATTTGTCAATAAACTTTTGTGGGTAAAAGTTGTCTCTTAGGCATTTTTCCACGTTCATCAATTCTTCTTCCAGTTTGTCAGTGGTACATATCCTTTACGCCCTATGAAATAGTGTTTTAACTAATGCCTTCTTGTAACTGAGTGGGCAAAAACTATTGAAATTCAGGTAAAGGCCGTTCCAAGTACTTTTTCGATAAAGCCAACGTTGGACTGTCCCATCTCTCCTACGTTTTATAGCAACATCAAGAAAGTGGAACGTGTCATTCTGTTCGTGTACCATAGTAAATTGTATGTTAGGATGAGCGTTATTGAAGAGTTTTAGCAAGCGGATTGCATGCTGTTTATTGTTACAGACAATAAACGTGTCATCAACATATCTGGAATATTCCGTCGTTTCGCTAATCACCTGTTTAAGCACCATGTTTTCAAGATACCCCATAAAAATATCTGCCAGAATTGGGCCTAATGGACTTCCCATTGCTACGCCATCAGGTCGATACCCTAGAATCGTTCAAGGTGATTAGTAAGCAGCCAAACTCCAGTCTTCTGAAGTTTGCTGAAGCAGTTGCTATCAGACGCCAAAAACCTGATTTATGTGTTCAAAAGGAGATGGTTATTAATCTTTCCTTGCCTTGGTGACTAATATTCCTTCGCTGTATCTCAATATATTTTTAAAAAAGATTTTGTTTTTCGTTTTCTTTGAACTCTTTCTTGCACTTATCACATCATTGAGTTTTATTCCAACTATTTTCCAAAAAAATATTTTGTTATTTGTCTGCTCACTGTAATTTAGACATTTAGTCCACTATATAAGTTTATGTGTGAGTTTGATTGGATAGCAATCTTTATCTATTCTCCCATTGGTTGTAAACAGACAATTAATAGGTTATCCATAATCGATTAACACCCATAAATATATATGGATTTTTAACACACATACACTCTCACCCGTTCCCTTTGTGCTTGCTTACTGCACGCTTGTGGATTTTACTAACCTTGAACAATAAGCTATCGCTATAACTAGTGTTCGGGCTTTTGAACAATCTCGAGTAAATTCAGAATACTACTAAAAGATTTAGCCTGCGTTTAAATACTCAGTTAACGGGATACTATTTATTGGAGTTAGATATTGGAGAAATTAACTTCTACAGTTTGTCATTATTCTGACTACCACTATACTTCATAATAAATCTATTCTTAATTAAAACGTTCAATATTAGCTTACCTTTAGTCAACAATAGATTGCCAAACGATAGATGATGTTCAAATAAATAATCACTTGAAATAATTGGTCCAAATTGTGGCACATCTTTCGCTCGACAAACAGATACACTGTTCGATTTAAAAGAAGGTGAATCAAAAACACAAAAGGGGATTATTTTAAACTATTTTTGTAAACATAATATTTGTGAAAAATAAGTAACAGTAGGTAATGAAATCAGTGTAGACTTGTGGAGATTGTTGAGCTTTAATTGAGATCACAAACTAATTATTGTTAGACCATCACTGAAAACCTGGAAGCACTGAACTACCGTTTCATCCTAGTGTCATATAATTTGTACATTAAGAATCTAAATATCATAGTCACTGGAAGATGTGAGATATGTTGATTTGGTTTTGTAAAATATCGTGGTTACACTAATGTAAGAAGTTGGAAACTAAGAAGAAATAGTTGTCAAGCGTCTCTTGGTTTTCCAGCTATTCTCTAATTAGTTAGTTTTTATTACAAGAAGCCTTGACAACTATTGTTAAACAACTGTTAAGTTAATTTATAGCTCCTTTATTCAGAATTAAAGACATTCAAAATTTTCATGTCTGAGTGATATCTTCATTTTACAGACCTAAATTTGTGTGCCAATCATTAGTCACACACATAATCATTGCCAAATACTAATGAGAAACATTACATAAAAATCATTTGAACAAGTTGTATGATAGAATTAAATACAGTTAGTGAACTAATATTGAATACCTTATTTCGAATATTAGAAATTGTCTCATTTTATTTATTTATTTGAATATAGAAATATTGGTACAAAGGGGCACCCAATACATATGTGACACACAAGTCACTTGATTTGTATGTAAGCTGTGATACTGCCCGAGTTTCAAGACCGAAGCAGGTGGTCTTCTTAGGGGGCCACACCCGGAGCCTTCTACCTAGAGATCTGGTCTATAAGGCGATGGAGCAACGTCAGGAGGTGCTGTTCCATGGAAGCCGAGGACCAACGATTGGTTCGTAAGCCATTTGTTCTCTCAGGATCCTGGAGTCCATGTGCACCACTGTTTGGAATCAGGGTTTTCCAACTCCCCTAGTTGGATCCTCCGTATCCACCAACCCAATTAAAGCACCGGACATTCACTTTTCGTCCTCTCAATTTCGTAAACAACAGTAATGCCGTGAGAAGACAGTGAGTAGGATTTCCCTGACAGTGGCTGTATACGCATGACCATGTGAAAGCACTTCGTGAGGGGAAGCTGCCTCTCCTGACCCTCGGCTGTACCAGGGCATTTAGGGGCTCATTATCAATTTTTTTGTTTCGGATTATTTTTTTGATATTTTAAAGATTTTGAAGGTTAACCCTGTTTACAACATTTTACAAACTAAATTCAATCTGACAATATTTTTTTAAAAATTGCTTAATTCTGTTAAATTTTGACACTAAAGAGTTACACCACATCATATTATAATCTAATATTATTCACTTTGAGTTCTATTAAAATCCTACAAATAAGTGTTTTGTTTTAGTTAACCGGTCTTCAATGCATAAAACAGTAAATACATAATATTCTGTCAAGATGTTGTGATTTGTTTCAGTCTTTTACGATTTCTATGTGATTAATTACTATTACATTAAAGAAAGCTATTAAAGCAATATCTATAATGAATCTGTTTAGATTTCAATCATAGGTAATTTGCTAAAACTCGATATATTTGGTCTTGAATTCTTTTCCAGATACATTCATTTTGTCTTTCTGAAGAGGTTATTTTCACAATCTGATTATTGTATAATTCAGCAAGTTTTGTATTGATCAAAATTAAAAATAACAGTTCAGATTAATTAGATTTATGTTTAAAATATTTTAAAAAGACTGTAATGTAAAGTGTATCTTTTATAGTGTAGAATATTAATTACATACGTATATATATATATATATATATATATATATATATATATATATATATATATATATATATATAAAATTCTTTATTCTAGTAAGCGATTTTTAGCAAGGTTGATTCCTACGAGATATGTTTACTGACTCCATGTTCAACCCTCCTCTTTTACTTGCAATAACCTTAAATGAGATACAAGCGGAAAACACTAACCCAATCACAGTTGATGGAGAAACTCTGGAAGAGGTCATAACTTTCACGTACCTGGATAGAATTGTCGATAAACAAGGAGGATCCGATGCACATGTAAAGGCGAGGATTGGTAAGGCAAGGGTAGCATTCCTACAGTTGAACAACACACGATACTGAAAACGACTGTCAACCAATATGACAGTCACAATCCTCAGTACGAACGTCAAGACAATTCTACTGCACGGAGTTGAAACTTCCACAACTACCGCAATCATCATCAAAGATGTACAAGTAGTTATAAACAGTTGACTGCATAAGATAACCAATGTCCGTCGGTCGGATACCATCAACAACAAACTACTGTGTAAGAGAACAAACCGGCTTACAGTTGAGAAGGAAATTAGGAAAACACGTTGGAAGTAGATAAGACACACATTGAGGAAATCATCAAACTGCATTACGAGGTAAGTGCTAATTTGGAATGGTGAGGGGAAACGGAAAAAGAGGAGAGCTAAAGAACACACTGTGCAAAGAATTGGGAGCAGACGTGAAAGGAATGGATAGCAACTAGAATGAACTTGAAATGATTATTGACGATATGGTTGGATCGAGAATGTTGGTGAGTGGCTATGCTCCATCACGAGGTGCAACAGGAGTAAGTGATTTATATATATAAGTACATATGGTATACCTATGTAATTAAACTTACCGATAACCAAATTTATAATTATTCTTATCATCAACATCACTATTTAAACGAATATATTTAACTATAATGAATACTTTTTGAAATCCTGAAATTATTGTATCCGGTTGAAATGGCATAGCATCTTCTTCAACAAATATAAATGTGACAGATGAATTACCAATATGTCGTTTTCTAGCTAACTATATATAAAAACAAAATTAATTATTAGAAATGAAAAAAATCTATATTAATTAAATAACATGTAACTAACCGTAATTGAGTGATTTTGAATATATAAGTACCAAATTGAAGAGAAAAAACAGTAACTAATATGTATAAAACGTTACTATACATTATTTGAAGTGATCTAAGTATAGTTAAACTCTGATTTATGTAACATAGGTATTTATTGTGTTTATGTCGTTACAATAATATATAGTATGTAGTGGGAAAGTTAGAGATTGGAGTGTTAAACATTATGTAATAAATAAATGTTACATAGCATGATCTACACAGTGTTACGTTCAGTGACTATTTAAGTTCGATATATATATACATATATATATATATATATATATATCGGCGAGCCCAACCAGCCATTCGAGCTGTAAAATGAAGAATGAATAAATGGCTTTCATCGAATAACCGAGTCGAAAGTGTCATGATAACTAACTCAGTCACTAGGTACTTAGGTATGGACTACGCTTTAAGTATGAGGGCGAATGGTATTACATGGTTACCCCAAATTGAAGTATGTGAATTCGGATTTCAACATGGAAATTAATGGGTGAAAGTAGAACGTTGTAACCAGTAAGCCACTGCTTCAGAATACACATACAACGTATTCATAAATATAGATATTTGTTCTTCAGAAAATAAAAGCATATTTCCAAGCAATAGTGCACTAAGTTTTCTCAACAAGTGACGTGAGCCTTTGATCATCTTTCGCTTATGATTTGACCTAAGCCTGATTATCCTAACGCATCATTTAACTAAATCATCTAGCTATAATGTTCTAAATAGAAATAGTAAGTTATTCATCTTCAGCGAGCATTACTGAATGATCGAAAGAAATGTTATGTAGCTGTATTAAATGGGTATGATTCGGATTGTGAAAAAAGGAATGAACATTATATTGATCAACCGATAGGTGTAATGATATGATGTGTGATTAATGACTACTGACAAAACCAGATAATTCATGTAAACTACCAAACAAACTAGTAGTTAAGTGAAGATTACTGGCTTGAAAAGTTTCTTGTATTGTAAAACTATTAAGAGAAAAATGTATATGATAAAATGTCATAAATTAAATGTCATCGAAAGAAATTAGCTTTATACATCGTTCATCGTTAATGGTGATTAGACCTACTTCCCCCAACATCGTGTCAAACACAAACTGTAAAAATAATGATTTATAGATTGTATTCTGGAAAATGAAGTGTATAACTGATCTTTAGTTACTACTCAGTTAAAAAAAAGGATTCGTTCAAAAAAGTACATAAGGATAACGGATATAATGGAAAGTTATTTCAATTTTAAAAAAACATTATTATGCAATTTAACTAATCGATTTAAAGCTTTCCATTATGACTTAATTCTTAATCAACATGCTATGTATAGAACGGATTGTATCAATATATTTGTAAAATATATCACTGGAGTTGTATTTTCTAGTTTACTTTGATTACGGAGCTTTCATCGTCATTCAGAACAATATTATCAGCACCTACTTCACCTAGAAGTAAGCTTTTCAGTTATTCTATAAATTTTTTAGGTCGTTCTGATGATCTTGTTTGGGGCTGATTTTTCGTAAATTTTATGTTGATTGTTTTTTATCGGCTAACTAACCTAATGCTTATTAGATCATAGTTTAAATCTTTATCGAATATCACACTTTTAAAACTTTAATGATACTCATAAGGTCAACTGATGCAACATTTGTGTAATAATCATAAATTGTTTTTTTTACATGAAGTAGTCGTTAATGATGTTGTCTGGAATAACAATTAAAACTTCGAAATCAGACCATTTCGGTCAGAATACGCAACATCACCAAACGCATCTATGTGAAGTGCAAATTTTTTTCATCATATATATATATATATATATATATATATATATATATATATATATATATATATTTGATGCCATAACTGTTTATTTTGTTTTTTAGTATTTAGCTGAATGATCTTCACAATATTTAAATATTATCATTGATTAATTAGACAAAATACCTTAAAAAAGATTTTATCAAGTAGTATTTCAATAGTTTGCATAGTACAATTTAGCAACTCATGCACACACGGTGTTGACATAGACGTTTGCTTCGACAACAAATCAATATCGATTAACAGATGTAATAACTTCTGTACATACATCTATGGTAGGTGCGTGAATGCACCCTGCTGAAGAATTCTATTCGGGTACGATGCAACTATTGAATATATTCTAATTTTGAATGGTTGTCTAACTTAGATTGTTTCACGATTTCAGTAATAGATACAAATTTTGAGTTATATATGAATTGCATATGGATTAATTATTCTACCGAGCTTTTTAAATCAAAGTACGTGAAAAAAGTTTACGTCTTCTGCTTACTAGTTAAATAATCGGTATTTTTGATATGTAAGCAATCTTACTCCACTGACAAAGTTAACTATAGTGACAAACATTGATGCCAAGATTAAATTCATCATCAAAAAAGTATTAAAAAATATGACATCTTAGCATATCTGTAAAAGATTGACGTAACATTGCGTATGAGTATGATGATGCAACTTTAAAACATGTTTGTAAGCATGTTACATTGTTACTCTTAGTCTATGAGACAAACAGAAAGTGTTGAAAGTAATTAGTTGATACATTCCATTGAATTGTTAATACATTTACATTTTATAAGTCTAGTACTATTGTTTCCACGGCATGATGTAGCTGTTGTTCAGTTGATTACCACCATTAATTAACTAAGGCATATAAAGTTTGAATACTTAGCGTATAATATTTTTGTATCCATTGTTAACCATTCAAAATAACAACATATTATTTACGATATAAAGAGTTTGCAGAGATTGTGGAATCTTATGGTTAGCATTGAGTATTGGGCTTGGTTAAACATGCATTAAATGAATTGAACAGCTGTTTAATGTTAGTGTGGGATTTCTTAGCAGAGCACATCCATGATCATACTAGAGATGAAATATAGAATTTTTCGGCTTTAAGGTGAGCACTTAACCAGTACACCACCGAGTGAAGATTCACTTGCCTACATGTATTATAATAAGAGTCATGTGTTTGTCTAGAATATTGTAGTTGCTTTTTGGCATAATTCATTTTGACATTGATAGACATCATGAATCAATGTCCTATCTTAGTTTAGGTCATAATAGGTCATCTATCAAACTCTAATGAAGCTTATTTTCTGTAATATATAGCTATGTTTGATAGGAATGATGGTTTAGTGGGCCGATATTTTAACGTCAATTAGATCGTACGGTGTTATCGACGGTCTCACCACTTTAGTGGTTCAATATCGGACTCCAGTTGGATTGTAGGAATAATCGTTATTGAAATATACATTATGACTATTCTCGTACATAATTATCGACTAAATGCACGTTAGTGAATAACGGAATTAAATAAGTAAAATATGAGAATGGCTTTCGAATACGTAAATTTCATACAATCCTTGATCTAGACAAAAGATCGGAGAAACGAAGCGAAGAAAGCGAAAAGAAGAGAGAAAAGAGGGACGAAATGGCGCGCAGTGGAGAACGCGTGTGAGCCAACTCGATTTAATCAGCCGCTGATCAATATTTATAGTCGCACAAAAATAAGCTATAGACATGTGATAAGTACGATAAGAAGTGCATGCACATACGCTCATATAAAAACAGTCAGGGTTGATAAGTTAATAAATAACAAGGTTAAAATATGACAATGGAGTATAGTGAAGTCTGTATATAAATCGTATAAAATCGCATGTTAATAATATGTTACTATATTTCTGAATGTTTTTGGAAAACTAATTAGATCATACAATGTTGCAATATTTAGGGATTATATTAATTAGTTACTAAGGCCCACTCAATGTTTGTTATCAGTGAATGTTGACTTTGGATGAAATCACAGAATCAGTAGCACTGGTAAACTTTATTCATTTTTAAAAAAGTCATCCTCCAAGCTGTAATTGAGCAACATTACTAAAATTAAATTCGTCGATTTCGATTTATCTTTGAACTAAATATTACTGATAAATATACGTTCATTGAAATGGAAACTGATCCTTAATCATTTCTACCTTATTTTGTTATTTATTGTTTACTGCACAACCACATAGTGGTTTAGTAAAATGTGAAAATCGTACATTAAATACATCATTTGCACACCTTCTTTGAATTGTCTCTTACTAACCTCATTATTCCGTCATTCCCATTGTTATCTTGATTACTTTCAGTTTCCTTCCGTTTTCGTTTCATTTCACTGTTCCCAACCCTGTTCTCGCAAACATTACATTTCTCATTGACTTTACATGCTACTGATATCTGCAAACATAAGTAGCACACACCATACTAATATATCATATATGACAATATTACCTGGTACACATTCAGTATAAACTGTAAATTGATAATTAGTTGATAGAGAAATTTATACTAACTACTCCATATTTCATTTTTTTCAGTCTTTATATTACAGATTCATTAAAAGTGAAACTATTATTGACTTTAATTGATAAAATAATTAATTTCACGTTTAATCTTGAATTGTAAAACAAAACGGTTATATATATATATATATATATATATATATATATATATATAACTTTCAATTAAGAGTTCAACTTTTTACCTGTTCTGTTTTATTAGGTTCATATGGAAGAAGTGTAGATACAAGGAATACAATATTTGTTCCACGAAATTCAGTAACATATGTCTCCAATCCAGTTGAGTCATCTAGATGTGTAGATAGAATTACATTTTAGAAAAAACTCATGTACTTAGATACATGTTCAAACGTATATATCTGTAGAACATTGAATACCATGGTTCTGACTAAACAACTGATATACAACTATGCAAAAATGTTTAATAATCGATTGATTTTCATTTTATATTTTATTTTCTCTGATTTATGATATGGATCATTTAGTTTCTTTATAATAACTTAAAGAATAACTTTAATCATTATTAATAAATTCTGATATTTTTATAATGAAGCAGAAAACGGTTATATCATCACTAAATTCTTAAAGCTGTAAATTAATTATTATGTTTTATTCTATCTATGTATTATTATTACTGTTTTTTTCAATGAAGGTCAAAACGAACCACAAAATTTGGTCTTATACATTGAAAATAGTGCATTCAGCGTTAACTTATGGATTGAATAGTACAAAGATATTATGAATGAAAGTTATTCACAAAATAGTTATATTTTAAATAATAATCAATCCTTGACTTGAGTCTTGTGGAATATTTCCTAAGTTGACAAGATTTTCTATACTAATTCAGTTATAGTTGTGGTGTGGGTTACTTGTACCCATATAAGTAGCATATCACTGTGATCAGGCATAAAATGTATTTCAGTAGAAGATCGTTAAGGGAAGAGCGGAAACGGAACGCAATTGGTATGAAAATGCATGAACAGTGAAATCTGAAACAATGGATTGATACTTTGCAAATTAACTATTTACAATATGGTTCTCAGATTTTAGTGAGATACTCTGTAATTTTGTGCTCAAATACATTCGATTGTCCCCACTGGTGTTCTTACTCACTACAACAATGTTTAGTGTAATGAAGAAAAAGGTTTGTTTGTTTTTCAGTCTGAAGTTAACCGGAAATTCGCTGTCCACTACCATAAAAAATATCCGAATTAAATGAGTTATGAATGATACAACATTTAATAGATAACAAGCATTTATTAAGTTAGAATTTGTTCAAAAAAAGGCTTCCAAAGTAGAAAAGTTTAATTAATCACTGTTTTTGAAAGAAAAAAGAGATGATCGAAACTTTCTTTGTATACTTAGGAACGTGATAATAAGCATCCTTTTTAAATGTTCAGTAAAATCATATCTAGTATTTTGAAGCATTTTCCCACTCATTAAGTGTATCAGTACTGTAAATAAGTGTGCTATTTTCATTTTAATCATTTAGAAGTCAACTACTTATATCTCCTGAGAACAGGTCACTGCTAAAAATACTAATTTAACAGATCAAAAAAAGGAAACAAAATGAAAAGTGTAGCTTTAGATGAAATTCACATAGAAAATTATGTTCTCACAAACACCATTCACTCAGTTATTGAACAAAGAAATGCTAAATGTTGGATACTTATTAAATATTGGGAAATAGGTGAACTACAAACTATACCACTAATAGCGATATCAAAAGTATCTTCAGTAATATATATATATATATATATATATATATATATATATATATATATATATATATATATATATATAATTATAATGTCAGCTGAAACCCAGTTTTCTTGAGCTTAACAATTCTATTTTATTTCTATTCCCTCAATATTTGTGAATGATAATCAACATTTATTTTAGAAAATAATTTCTTTATAGTAACCTCAGTTCCGCATAGATAACCGGATTTTAAACGAAACCTTAAAAAAGAAGTGGTCCACAGTTGAAAACTTTTTTTCTGTTTTTAACTATACAATTGGCAAATTGTTCATTCATTAATAAACCACTAGAAGCTGAAATAAATTTTAAAAAAGCATTTCCTTTTTAAAACATAGTAAATTAGATTATTTTAATTGAGATTATGAACTGATCAATGATAGACCACCAATGAATTCCTGGGGGTATTAGACAGCCTTTTGATCCTGGTATGTTATGCACACGCCAATGATAGCAATGGCGACGATAAAGACCAGTTCTACAAGAGGCTGCAGTCGATCATAAAGAAGTGCCCAAGAAAGGCTCTCATCGTCTTGACGGGATATCCAAACACTTAAGTTGACATGGACAACAAGGGTTATAAAGATATCATGAGACGATATTGACTGACTGGGAGAAACGAATGAGAATGGCGAAAGTTTTGCAAATCTATGTGCTTTCAACAAACTGGTTATAGGAGGCACAATATTCTCACACAAACGCATACACAAAGCTGCATGAATCTCACTGTACCACACTACGGGAAACCAGATAGATTATATTTGCATCAGTAGAAAGTTCATAAGGTTAAATGTAAGACGTGCGAACAAAGAGAGGAACTGACATAGCTTTAGATCACCGCCAACTGGTTGTTGTTAAGATGAAATCGAAGCTAAAGAATCATTGGATGACTGGACAAACAGCGTTATAAACGTTCAATAGAGCGTTCATATAAGACACTGACAAACTCAACGAATTCAAGATGTCTCAACAATAGGATTCAAGCCTTAAAACATTTGCTCAAAGGATAGAAAACTATCATGGAGAACAAACGGAAAGCAATCAAAGAAGTGTTATCTTCAACGTGTCAAGAGATTCTATACCCCAAGAAGCATCATCATAAGGATGGGATCTCTATTGTTAATCTGAGCAGGATTCAATAAGAAAGAGAGAAAGAACAAGGAGATAGAAATTAACAACAGTCGAAAAAGAATAGATAAAGTCAAGACACAAACTGAATACACAGAAGAAAACAAGTGAGTGAAGAAGAGCATTTGAGCAGACAAGCAGAACTACATGGGAGACCTAGCAACGACAGCTGAAAAAGCTGCAACAGAAGGAAATATCAGACAACTATATGACACAACGAAGAACCAGGCAGAGAAATATAGTAAACCAAAGAGACAGTTCAAGGACAAAGAGGGCAAGCCAATCAATCAAATTCAGGAACAGAGGAACAGTTGGGTGGGACACCTCGAGGAACTCTTGAACAGACCAGCTCCATTGAATTCACACGATATCAAAGCAGCACATACAGACCTTCTTATAGATGGCACTCAACCAATGACCGGAGAAATCAGCATCGCCATCAGACAACTCAACATTGGGGAACCAGCACGACCTGACAATATACCAGCCGAAGCACTCAAGTCAGATATGGAAGTAAACATACTTCACGTTCTATTCTGGAAGATTTAAGAAGAAGAACAAGTGCCTATTGACTAGAAAAAAGGACACCTCATCAAGATATCAAAGAAAGATCTAAACAGGTGTGAAAACAACGGAGGCACCAAACTATTATCGGTACCAAGAAAAGGTTTCCGACAGTGTTGTTGAACCGGATGAAAGACTCAGTAGACGCCAAACTTTGAGATCAACAGGCTGGATTCCGTAAGAAACGGTTGCTCACGTACTAAATCTTCACACTATGGATCGTCTTTAAACTCGTCACTATGCATCTACTTCCTTGATTATGAGAAAGAATTTAACCGTGTAAATAGGAGAACACTATGGAAATTTCTTTGACCCGATGGTGTACGTAACTGAGAAGATCGCCAACATAATACGGAATTTATAGGACGGACTACAGTGCAAAGTCGTGCATGCAGGACATCTCACAGATGCATTCCAAATGAGAACTGGGGTCAAACAAGACTCTTTCTCTATCTTCTCGTGGTTGACTGGATTATGAAGACCTCCACATCTGACGGGAAACGCGGAATAGGATGAACAGGTTGGATGCAAATAGACAATTTGAACTTTGTAGATGATCTGACCCTTCTATCGCATACACATCAACAAACGAAGGTCAATACAACGAGTGTGGCAGAAGCCATTGCACCACTAGGCTTCAACATACATAAGGGAAAAAGTAACATTCTCAAATACAACACAGAAAACACCAACCCAATCACAGTTGATGGAGAAACTCTGGAAGAGGTCATAACTTTCACGTACCTGGATAGAATTGTCGATAAACAAGGAGGATCCGATGCACATGTAAAGGCGAGGATTGGTAAGGCAAGGGTAGCATTCCTACAGTTGAACAACACACGATACTGAAAACGACTGTCAACCAATATGACAGTCACAATCCTCAGTACGAACGTCAAGACAATTCTACTGCACGGAGTTGAAACTTCCACAACTACCGCAATCATCATCAAAGATGTACAAGTAGTTATAAACAGTTGACTGCATAAGATAACCAATGTCCGTCGGTCGGATACCATCAACAACAAACTACTGTGTAAGAGAACAAACCGGCTTACAGTTGAGAAGGAAATTAGGAAAACACGTTGGAAGTAGATAAGACACACATTGAGGAAATCATCAAACTGCATTACGAGGTAAGTGCTAATTTGGAATGGTGAGGGGAAACGGAAAAAGAGGAGAGCTAAAGAACACACTGTGCAAAGAATTGGGAGCAGACGTGAAAGGAATGGATAGTAACTGGTATGAATCGAGAGGGACCGCCGAGGACAGCGTTGGATGGGGTGGAGTAGCAGGCGTACGTAACTAAGTAATTATCTGTGGTGTTTGTTGAAACTATAATTTATGGACGACCTTTGTGAGATGCTAACGTAACCTTGAGAATGTCCACCTACTAATTGGATCTAAATGAGGGTTATAAAGCAGTATGAAGAATTAGAATCATGATTTACAGTTGATTGTTAGGAATAAGACCGAGGTTTTTCATCACGAACTGACATCATCTGAAATTTCAAAATTCTATTTGGCTAAATGTATGAATGAATTTCATACCAAAATCCAAGACCTATTATCTTATATCTGACTGGTTCGTCCATAAATTATAGGCTCGTCTGTTGTTTTGTAAAAGATTACATACATTCAGTAGTTTAAGCTAATGATTTGTTAGTAACATTTCAATAGTATACACATCGAACCGTGTTTTCACTTACATAAGAGGTTATTGATAAATCGAAATGCAGTATATTTAATGATTTATCTCCACTATCCCACAATCATTTATATTACTGAATTTTTATAATATTATGAATTGTGGAAAATAGTTAAAAATCTGAATACATTCATGAAGTATGAAATATATTCCTTTCATGTCGAATTACAGATTCATTGAATAAATCTGTCTTAATTTTGTTCTACTCATGTCTTTCACATCTACAAGCGTATTATCAAAAAGTTATTTTGCATTATATCCGTAATCATACAAATAATTTAAGTCATTCCAAATAATGATAGGATCTTTAAAACAATTATTACCTTTGATAATGTAATAAGAAAAAAAGTTTATCACAGTGCTTGAAATGTATTACGTTAGTAATGTTTATCTCCCTATTACATCATCCAAAATCACAGGATAATTGACAGTTAAGTAGAGTGACTAAACATGGGCAAATGAATTATCAAGTTTATTTTTGAAGGAACTAGAATGTTCTATTATTTAGTTATCCTGGTGCATTAACCGTCATTTTTTGTTGACAGGATTTGAAATTATATGAATAGTTATATAATGTGAAATTTGTTACTAATGTAAGAAGCAATTTATTTACTACAAATAATCAATGAAAAAGTAATTTAATTCTAGATGTCACTTATTCATGACAATGAATGAGAAGGCTTCTTTCATCTTAGAGAAAGCATCTTTGATTAACTTCTGATCAGAAAGAAGATCGATAGATTCTTTATAAGTACTTTTGCATCTCATTGTGTTTGAATTAAACATTGTTTTAATTTGTATTTTTATTGAAAAATTAATAAAGCCATTGAAGAAGATACTTTTTTGCAATCACCAAACCTCAAGTACTTGTAAAAATCAATACACATTTACTAAGTAGATTTGTTTCACTAAAATTTCATAACTGTCGAACTACAATTTTAAGTCTGATTATTGCCCTATTAACCTATTTTTTCATACAGTTCAAGTTATTATGTTTCATAATTTGGTATTACGTAACAGACTGAGAAAATGTGTTAGTAACATTTCCACTCAAAGTTTGATGTCTGTTTATAGCAAAGCATGAGACTAAGGTTTGTGGAAAATTTATTTGTGCAACAGGTTAGTGAAATTATAGATTAAGTGATTGAGATTAGAAATTGGTCTACACATATGCAGTGATGTACCACCTAGATTAGAGATTGAAGCGTTTAATATCAGCATGAATTATTTGTTACATTTTTACTGTTGTACTGGAATTTCGATCGTACATATATTACGATTGAATGTATAAATTTTTTTCTGAACAAAATAAAGTACGTTCAGAAAATTAATGTTTACAGTGATATTTGAACGGTGTCATTACTTACTTACGCCTGTTACTCCCAATGGAGCATAGGCCGCCGACCAGCATTCTCAAACCCATTCTGTCCTGGGCCTTCGTTTTCAGTTCTACACAATGTTTGTTCATTTTTCTCATCTTTGTCTCCATTTCACGGCGTAGTGTGTTCTTTGGTCTTCCTCTCCTCATTGAGCCTTGAGGATTCCATGTGAGGCCTTGCCTTGAGATACAGTTGGGTGATTTCCTCAACGCGTGTCTTATTCACTTCCAGCACTTCTTCCTAATTTCTTCCTCTACTGGGATCTGGTTTGTCCTATCCCATAGTAGGTTGTTGCTGATAGTGTCTGGCCAACAGGTCCGAAGTATATTGCGTAGACAGCTGTTAATAAACACTTGTATCTTCTGAATGATGGCTTTCGTAGTTCTCCAGGTTTTTTCCCTATACAGTAGAACTGTTTTGACATTTGTATTGAAAATTCTGACTTTGGTGTTGGCTTGTGGTCAGTTGTGTTTAGTTCCAGATGTTCTTCAGTTGTAAATATGCTGTTATTGCTTTGCCAATCTGCGCCTTTACATCTGCATCAGATCCACCGTGTTCATCAATGATGTTGCCCAGCTATGTAAAAGCTTTTACATCTTCAAAAGCTTCACCGTTAAGTGTGATTGGATTGTGGCATGCTGTGTTGTATCGGAGAATCTCGCTTTTCCCTTTGTGTATGTTGAGACCTACTGCTGCTGAGGTTACTGCTACACCGGTCGTCTTCTCCTGCATTTGTTGTTACGTGTGCAATAGAAGAGCTAGACCGTCTGCGAAGTCTAGATCGTCTAGCTGAATACTAGCTGTTCACTGAACGGCAGTGTGAAAATAAAGATCATCACCAGGCTACTGTGGCACCAAACGAGTGTTTTTTTAACACTGATAATCAGTCAGTAGACAATATTACTTAGGGATTTAGCAGTAATCATATCTGCTGAAACCATATGTGTAGAATTTGAAATAATAATGTTAAGTTATTAGCTCTGAAAAAAAAATTATCAAAGCGACAACTAACTTCGATAGTCCAATCCACCAATATATCCTGAATAGTTACGAAGACGAACTTTACGACCTAAAAGCTTTAAAAATTCTTCAAATTCTGGTGTTGAGTGTTCTGAAATAAATGTATGAATAAAAAGTAAATATTTGTATTTATAATTATTTTTTATTAAATTTACAGATATCAAAATGATAATGACGGAACAGAAAGTTTTTTATGGAATGATACAATCTAATCAGATACTAACCATCTCCTTTGCACGCAAGCAAAAGTATAAAAATTCTATAATACCTTACCTAGTTAATTTACTCTGTGACAAACAGGTTGTTAAAGTTAACCTAGTCAATAACCAGTATTCTTAAACATGCCTTTAAATTGGAAAGATGTACAGTTTCAGATCTTTTTTTCACTTTTCCCTCTTTTCTTGTTGTTGTTTTGCTTTTTATAAAAGAAAGGTAACGAAACGCCTTCTGTTGAGAATTCTATATTGTACCAAGATCTAATATTGAATTAAGCCATTAATAATAACAAATCTTGAATTCATTTCATGATAATCAGTTATTTCATTTCCTAATTTATCATAGCTGATAAATGGTATATATCGAATGTAGAAATCAGATCCTGTTTGAAGTTTTTTATTTCTTCAATATAAATTTTCAATACGCATCAACTAGCATACAATATAGATCAAGGGCATTTACCTGACTGTATGTTTAAACTTAAATCTGTGAAACGGATAAGCTTTTTTATGTCTACAGAGTTTTTTATCTAAATGCAGGCTTATCCTTTAAACCAATGAATCAGCATGGTAGTTATGTGGATAATACATTGTCATTTAAAATGATAAGTACTAGATTTGATTATAATAGTGAACATCGACACTGAAATGTAATTAAACCTAGCTGAAATGTTCCAAATAATACGAAACGTATATATATATATATATATATATATATATATATATATATATATATATATATATATATATATATATATATATATATATATATATAATAGATTATTAATTAAGAAAGGATTTGTTGTAAACTATCTGTTATGTATGATATATTCGTAACTGATTGATAATTAATTTAAAAGCTACTGATTTGAATCATGCCTACGTTGAAGATTATGGATATGAAGTAGACTACATTTGATTGTCTAAATTAAGAATATATGATAGATAGATATATCCACAACTTGATAATATTCTACGCATAATGTTATAAATAAACAGAATAAATAAATATTATTATGCAAATCTATGCATAGAGAATCATTTACTTTGATACATTGGAATATATAACATGAACACTTAAAACTAGTCTATGAATACATCAAATTTGATCAAATATATAGTTTGGAATTATCTATTCGATTGAATCAATCTTATGAGTTTACTGATAAAATATGGCTTTGAAAAGTTATAACTTTACTAAATTTAGTAAATGTTAGATCCTCAGAAATCACTCGGTAAATATCATATTTTTGTAATTTTATTTTGGAAATTCGCATTTTTCATTTTCGTTCCAAAAGCTCTTAGTTTTACCTTTAGATTGTATTTCCCACTTGACAACACCTTAAAAGTCATTGGTTTGTTCCCCCTTTTTAGTACACTATTTTGTTATGTTTTCCTAGGATATTTTTATAAGGTATATATATGCTTGAGTTGTGTGCCTGTTTATTGATACTTCTGGCTGATTATGGAATATTTCTTTCTCTCTGTTGAACCTGGTCATCTCCTTCTAGTTATCAGGGTCGTGGTTGATTGGAATAGTTTAGTCGTTGTGTTATTCATCCTTTGTTCTGTTTGCCGATTTAGGTGATATAGTAATCTCTTCAAACGTTGAACTAACTTTATGTTGAATGAAATCATGGAGAAACTCATTGTAACGAATAATATAAATAGTAATTTATTTTGATCTATTTTTGTCATATGGAGCAGCAGAAACATAAGCAATAAACACATAACTAATAATGTTGGTGAATTATTGTTTGACAAAAGAAAACGAATTATAAACCTAATTAATTAAATTAAAAAATCATTTTGAAATTGTGAGAATTGGTTACATGGATTCACCATATAACACACACAATATTGCAAAGATTTATTGAAATTTTCAATAATTAATTATCAAATACAAATAGATTCATTTTCTCAAAACAATCTTCAGTTTAGAAAGTTTCATTCTTCTCAAACTAATTCATTACGTCAATAATTTTATCTGACTACCCAATAATGTTATACAGAATTCAGAGTAAATATTTTCAGTAGAGAAAACTATTAGAAAGTATTTTGTGATATATTATCAATGATTAGATGAAAGTATTTGGTTTAGATTTCTCTACTATCAAGCAGATTCACTGGTTATCTAAGGTCATTTTGTGATGCACACTATATATATCCAATAACTTTCACAAACTCTTTATAGTATTAATGATAATCATGTACATACTAGTAACAAATATTAAGAGGAAATTCCTAAAGTCCTACTAAGACTCCATGACTAGTGAAATTCAACCTTATGGATTGTTAGACAATTACCTTCCAATCACTTCAGAAGACATTTGTGTAACATTGAAAAATGACCTAAAGTAAAATTGTGAATTACTCAATGTGAAGGCTAAACGTTGAGTGCAAAACTTGAAAGTCTTTGATTCTATCCATGTCTGAGTCACAATCATAGATGGGGTATTCCATACTGATGCAAAATAGCCGTCCAGTCCTTTCTTTTTCCAGTGTTTGTCTAAAGTTGATATGGGATATAAACTTGAAAATGATACTAAATTTATTCATGTTACAGGCAATAATCTCTAACAATTTAAGTCATCCAAATTAGTTTTATAATATTTGGAAAAAGATAGTAAAAGAAATCATTATTGATCATACATGTTTGTTTATTAGACCCTTAGTTACTTGGTTTCGATACTTCTCTCTCAACTAAACACTTTCATATATTCAATTTAAACAAAATACTTGTAATAACAACAATATTTTCCAACAATATGCGCTAGTTTAAACCATTCGATATTCATGATATGATTGACTGTTAGTCATGACTACATTTACAATCATAGCAAAACAAGTCTAATGAAAGCGTTTAATTTCTGGACAAAAAATAACGGAACAATGAGAAATAAATAGAGAGTCACTATTTAAACAAACAAAAACGAAACGATTTAACCTATTAGTAAATTAACGAAGATTTTTTAAACGTTTCATAATAATAATAAGGACACTGATTAAAATATTAAGTAATACTTGTGATTACGTAAATATTTTTTCTACTCAGAAAAATATTGATTTGTCAATTACTTTGGGTAATTAAATATGTAATTAATTAGTTAAATAAAAAAAATAAATGTAGTACCATTAACCAATTGAAAGAATAATGATGTTAATGAATTGTTTAACAAATGGTTATGTGAAATGTATATTTTCTTTTGTAAGGAAAAGTTTACCTTGTGTCTTAATGGAAATATAAGTTTGAAATTTTAGTTTGATATTAGAGTCCTAACATAGAATGAAACGACTGTTCAGTGCTTCCAGGTCTATCTTTAATCGATTAATGATCCCAACTATTAAAACAAATTACTGTAATATTCACAAAACCCTTCTGATATTGAAAAATTCATTGCTTGTTTATTGAATATGTTACATAAATTAAAATTATCAAATGCAAATGGATTCATTTGGGTTTCAATCAAGTTATTAAGAATACCACGCATCAAAATGTGTCCATGTTGAGCTAGAACAATCCAAACATGAACACTTATCATCAAATTAATATCTCCTACTAATCATCACTATGGACGTATACTTGACAAATTCATCTGTATTAGATGTTTTACAATTACAACTTCCCTATTTATATCAATGTAGTCTACAACATGATTCAGTGAACGTTGAAAACACGTTAGTTATGATACTCAAAGACAATTTTATGTTTATGTAAACATTATGGATGGGTATAGGACACGTCCAGATGGTCAGTGTCAACTAGTTAATGAATCCTTTGACAATTATCTCAAGAACATTCCTTCAGTTTCCTTCCACAATATTTAAATAGCATAAATTATATCATTAAACTTACTTTTTGTTTCCATATATCCAATATCACTCTTTATGCTAACATTCGTTAGTATAAATGACTAGAAATAATTATCAGTGTTAATTCATTGTGTAAGTAGGAAGACGTTTCATTTCTTTCAAACAGTCTACTACACATGGAATATGGTGGTGTGAGTGTAAACAACACAAAATCGCTTGTTATGCTCTTTTAGGATTGTTTATAATGATGATATTGGATGGTAGATTACTTATACTTAATATGATTGGACTCCAGTAGTCAAGGGAAATTCAGACTCAGTGATCCAGAGGATATATGCTTTTTGCTAAGCAAAATTTTTAGCTGTGTACGTGCACTCCTGAATAGCCACGTTGTAGAATGACACAGCTGTCGTATGCTTCCTGGTTTTCAATGCTAGTAAAAAAACATTATGAACTCGATGTTTCACAATAATTCAGGCAAAATGGTACCATTTCAATTATTTTTATCTTTTCATTTTGATACTAAATAAAAGCTACTTATCGAACTCTCTATTGATAAATATGATGTAAGTTTTAATATCAAAGAAGAAATATGCTAAACTGAAATGCTTTCACGTTAATGCTTTTACATTCTAATCACGATTGGGAAAAATTATAATCAATTATGAACCATGGTACAAGATATTTAAAGATTGATTCAATGGTTGAATTGTTTGTAGTGAACAAGAACACCAGTGGGGACAATCGAATGTATTTGGGCACAACATTACAGAGTAACCCAATAAAGTCTGAGAACCATATAGTAAATGTTTAATTTGCAAAATGTCTGTCAATTGTTTTAACATGACTAAGACTTTTCTGTTCTTGTATTTTCACACAAATTGCATTCTGTTTTCATTATTTACTTTTCGGTCCTCTTGTCTCTCTGCTGCCAGACATTCTCTTCCTAAAGTCATATTCTACTTATGTCGATTTAAGTAACACACAACACATGCTTCCTTAAATATATAATTAACCTTTATTGATATGATCTTTATTCCACTTATTTATAGTCTGCTCAATG